TTTATCGTCCAGGCCATGTGACGGACCTGGGAGGAGATTCTGTAACCAGTTAGCGACAATTTTCGAATCGCTACCGTACTTTTTGACGCAATCACATTTATATCCCAGCGATCCGGAAATTGTCGCTGACTAGTTACAGAATCTCCCTCCTGAAGTACAAAATATCGCAAAGAAACATTTGACTGTACTTCGAAGTACGAAGTACAAGAGCGAAAAAAGAAGTACTGTACTTCCGAAAGAAGTACGGTTGGTCACATTAACTATACGCCCTGTCCACGGAAATACAAGGTGCTCTTGAGTGTGGGGAGACAGTACTCTGTGCCCTCATCGACATTGAGGGGGCGTTTGACAACACCTCTCACGGTAGTGTCGACCGAGCGCTTGAAACCCGTAATATGCAGGCAACAATCCGCAGGTGGATAGTCAGGTTACTCAACACAAGGATAGCTGAAACCGACATCGGGGACGGCGTGGTACAGCTACAAACTACAAGAGGTTGCCAACAGGGAAGAGTTTTATCCCCTCTTCTGTGGAGCTTAGTTGTGGGCGAACTTCTACGGACTTTCACTGAAAATTGCATCCGCTGTCAAGGCTATGCGGGTAACATTGTGATTATTGCCAGAGGGAAGTTCGTGATCACTCTATGTGATATAGTTCAAAGGGGACTAAACCTAGCAAGAGGCTGGTGCTTGAGTATGGGCCTGAGCATCAACCCCTCCAAAAACGTTATCGTCCCCTTTTCTAGAAGAAGAACACTCCCAGGTATGAGGAACATCACTTTGAATGGGGTCGCCGCCAACGTCGCCACCGAAGTCAATTACCTGGATTAATACTAGATTCCAGACTTCTGTGGAAGGCGCATGTCGACGCGATCACTTCCAAAGCCACGAGGGCACTAATGGTATGCAAACGTCTGGCAGGGAAGTCTGATAATTAGACCAATAGTTACTTATGGGGCAGTAGCGTAGGTATTGAGAACCACCCTTGCAACGGTGAGACAATCACTAAGCTTCAACGTCTGGCGTGCACGGGGCAATGCGCACATGCCCGACGGCGGCGCTGGAGGTGATTCTCGAACTCGAGCGGCTGGAACTTACCATAGAACAGGCAGCTAAGCGAACTCTATTAAACTTCGCAAGAGAAGGCTTTGGTAGAGGTAAAATCCTACCATCGAGGAACAGAAACAAGCTAGGCTCCCAAATTTCATTAGCTCTGCTCCCCAGATACGATAGGCCCAAACTAGTTAACTTTGATAGGAAATTCAAAATAGTGCTTTGCACCAAGTCGACTTGGAGCACCTCTTTTATGGTCACTGCAGACTGAGAGGTCACCTGCACAAGTTGGGGATCTGGTCTAGCGACCTATGTCGGTTCTGCGATGTGCGTGAGGAGAGCCCGCTGCATCTGCTTCGCGAATGCGAGGTAGTTGCGAGAAGACGGGAGACACCCCGTTCTGGGTTCTCTGGGATTAGATGAGGTACTTTTAACAGTCGAGGGCACAATAGATCCCTTGGTCGCAGTGCATACCTCTACTTAATCTATCTATCTATGTATGCTGTATAACAAATAGCATAACCAAAACAAACGCGAAAAACATCTCCCGTACAACGTCGTTGAAAATTTTCGGCGATAAGATTATCGCGATAAACTGTTATGAGTGATCGCGAATGGATTACTTCATCGTTTTTCCCATTTATGAGCGGCCCAAATCGGCAAAAGAGTGAGAAGACATTTCTTTGCTTTTCTTCGTTCGCGAATGAAAGACAGCGGATAGTTTTTGTTGATCGCTTATAATAAATGTGTTTGCATTTTTCATTCGGGATAAAAGAATGCAAAAATTATTGTAAATATTTTCGATAGGATAAATCTCATAAATGAATGAAAAGGAATAATCACACATGAGAATTTCCGAACCCTGAAAAATATTATTGTAAATATTTTCGATAGGATAAATCTCATAAATGAATGAAAAGGACTAATCACACATGAGAATTTCCGAACCCTGAAAAATATGCAATCCAAGTTTTTATTTTATACCTTCACCAAGCTCGCGTTGGGCAAGAATACTGTGTAAGGTATCTTACTGCTTAAAATCTAATGTGAAAAGTTTGAATGTACACATAAGACATAAATATACGTATAAGACATAAATATATAATAATCGTATTTTACCTTTTTACCACCTTGCTGTTTAGCTTGTTTGTTCTTATTTCCTTTGTTATTTTGAGCCATTTTTATTCTAAACTACTCAAATGAAATTGGTTAATTGTAACTGAGACAATAAACATATAAACACTTCGCTTTCAGTGGTGTCGAATAAATCAGTATCGAATTGCAATTGCAAATGTTGCTCTCAAGATTAAAAAAACCATTTGGGATGTATGAAAATAACGGACGTGAACCGATGAAAAAATTGGTCAGCTCCAACCGTTTTTATACCTCTGGATTCAATTTACAATATCCAGTTAAGATTGAGGAGACGAGTGTCATATTATAAGTAAACAAACATAGTATTACCGTATTTAACAAGAGAAAAAATAAAAACATTAGGGAAAATTGTCTATTAAAAAATTTATCGAAACGAACATTAAACCTTAATAAAAATTGGTTCGAATCTCGGTTTGGATCAAACATTTGTGGAAAATTTCGATTCGAGTAATCGTTCAGTTCATTAGTAAAGAAAAACTATTAATCCGGTTCAAAGCAGGTTCACGTCCTGATAAAAAATGCTTCAATACGTGGAATGTATTTTTTTAACTGCATTTTCAACCAAGATAAAAAATCCACCTAGACCAAGCATGGTGAAGCCAATCGATATTTTATAATATAATAATATTTTGGCGCCTACACTTCTACTAAGTGTTTGGCCGTGGTTCTTCACCAATTTGTGGCTTGCGTACTAATGTTATAGCACAAATGGAAGGACCTACAATTTTTCGCCTACGAACGGCGAATGGTTTTAATGGGAAGCTTTTTCAAGGCAGAAATACACTCGGATGTTTGCCATTGCCTGCCGAGGAGCGACCGCTGTTAGAAAAAAAGTTTAGGTGTTGCGCGTACCAGGGACCGAAATCGGGTCCCGCGGTGTGGTAGTACGCAACTCTAACCACTCAGCAACAGCAGCCGCCAAACGATAGTTATACATATACAGTATCGGGCTTATCTCTAGCACCCCATTCTAAGTGATTGTGTTTGCTTCTTAGGTTTATTTATTAATTTTTAAGAATTTTCAATTCAAATATACACTCTAAAAAATTTTTGTTTAAATTTGCGCATATTAAGATAGGTAACCAGTTTCCTCTCTTAATGAATGCAAATTTAAACACTGCTTGATTACTTTTACTTATCATATGTGTGGCGTAGAACAAATTTCAAATTTCTTTTTTGAGTTTTAAACATTTAATGTTCACATTTTCATAGTTTACACATCAAATGTTTAAAATTTCCTCTAAAAAATTTTCGTTTAAATTTACGCATATAAAGAGAGGTAACCAGTTTCCTCTCCTAGTGTGTGCAAAATTAAACAATGTCTGTTTACTTACACAAGGGGTGGGTTTTGGGGCTAAATTTATTATGATATAAGAAATTTTGAAAGAAAAAAATTTCTTTTCCATTTCTTGTGCGTCATTTTGTAAGAATTTTTCTTTTTTTCTTGAGAGCTCTTTAAAGTTTAACTGCGAATGAAAACATTGTCCTAAAAATATGCAATGCATACTCACTTACTGTTGCTTTTTACACTTTACAGCCTAAAAAAAGTTTACCACTCATATGTACTTAATAAGCATTCGAAGATTTAATTTGCTAATTTCGAATTCGTTCCACCAAAATGAGCTACATGATAAAAATACAAGTTCAGTTAAATTTTCGTTCTTCGAATTATTAAAAAATGAGAAACCAGAAATCGACGAAAATAAATAAAAAAGTGTAAAAATTTCATGAAGTTATTTAAATTATTTATATTAAAATTCTTTTGTAAAATTTTGTATTACTTTTGAAAGTTGAGTGCATCTTTAACCGTTAATTTTTTCATGATTTAATGATCGGATCTAAACCAAATTACGAGACGAGGTATCATCTTTCCGGTAAAACAAATAATTATTGGAATCGGTTCACGCGGTGCAAAGTTATGCGGTGGAATAAATAATAGAAATAAAAATACTCCGAAGAATTGATAACCTCCCCTTTTTTGAAGCCGGTTAAAAATGTCTGAGTTCTTTGTAAATTTTATGTAAATAAAATGCAATTGATGATACTTTAAAAAGTTTATATATTTATTTCATACTGTAAATAAAACTTTCATAAATGTATTTTAAAGAGCGAATTTTCAGTATTTGCTGATGATATATATTTAGAAGTATAAACCCTTTCCCCCCAAAAATATATTCCGGCGTGCGCCCCTGTTACTTAGCATTTATTATTTGTAACAAATATATTTTTACTTTCAAAATGTTTGTAATTTTAAACATTTCATGTGTATATTTTAAACAACTCATGTTCAAAATGAAATCTTGAACATCTTGTGCGTATACTTGAACAGGTTCTGGTTGAAAAATAAACACTTTTCAGTAGTAGTTTTACATGCACTTTTTAGAGTGTAGTTAATTCCCTAACAAAACCTATATAAACCCTAGATTAAGTTTGTAGAAAACTACAAAAAAAATTGGTGAAATAATAACAAGGTGTTGTCAGTAGCGACGTGTTTGTTGTAATTTTGACAAGATCGGCATGCTTATTTTCAGTGCTGCCGATCTTAATTTTTTATAATGCTATTAGTTGGGAAATTGTATTTAAAATACTCCATTTTAGTATTTAATTTTATCGTGATTTTTAAAGAACATGGTGTTTTCAGAACGATATTAATATTTAAAATTGCTGGATTTGTATAATTTTTGTCCTCAAAATATAAAATATAAAAGATATCGTAGTTATCAATGGAAAAAGACGTACACAAAAATCGTATGGAAAGGCGATTTTTTTATATTAAATATCTTTTGCTGCACTGCCATAATATCGAGCCAAATGGACTACTGATACACTAGAATAGAGCGGCAGCATGGTTAAATTACGACTTCGCTTATATAATCGATATTTATGTGTTTTAATCTATATGTCAGCCGCTGTGGCGTAGTGGTAAGCAGTGCGCGCTCCACTCCGCAGCAGCTGGGTTCAAGCCCTGGTCAAAGCAACATAGCAAATAATATAGAAAAAAGGTTTTTTCTTAACAGCGGTCGTCCCTCGGCAGGCAATGGCAAACATCCGAGTGTATTACTGCTATGAAAAACAGCTTCTCATAAAAATGCAATCGCCGTTCGGAGTCGGCGTAAAACTGTAGGTCCCTCCGCTTTGTGTGACAACATCAAGGCGCACGCCGCAAGTCGGAGGAGAAGCTCGGCCAAACACTAACATATGTGTAAGCGCCAATCTATAATTATTATTACTAATCTATTTAAAAAATCATTTACAGTTTTATAGGACATTGCCTTATTTTACGGCCTGTACTTTTTTAAAAGTTACAATATATGTGCAACCTGTGTGGAGCTTACGATACAAACATATATTCAAGCTTATAAGCCTGTAATTAAACATTTTTCTACATTTAATTTGAAATAGTATGCACGAACGGATTAAAAGTAGTAAATAATTAGTACTTTTTCTACTACTTTAAAATGCGTGACCGGAATAGACCTGCCGAAAAAGTGAGGTTAAGTTACTGACAACACCTTGTTATTATTACAGGGGGTCGAAAATGCCTATTGCATCATCAAAGCTGTCGTCACAACAATGGTATGTCCGGAGACTAAAACACTCCCCCCGAATTGGAACCGTCGCCCACCCTGGGACCACTAATCGCATTGCTTCAGGGTGGCGTTCCATATTTCTCATTAACTAAAGTTCCCTCGGTGCACCTGCGTCCAGGTCCCGCTTCTTGACTCTAAGTAAGTATTCTGCATATTTAGCTATGTTCTTCCAGTTAGTTTCGCTATGTAGCATGGCTTGGATGACGTTATCTGGATTAATTGGTCCTACAAGGTCTTGCAGATTATTGCGCTCGGTTTCCCATCTTTTGCATCTGAAAAAAGTGTGCTCGGCATCGTCTTCTTCTGCGTCGCTGTATATGCATGACGGCTCTTCGGCTTTTCCCATTCTATACAGGTATTGGCGAAAGTAACCATGCCCAGACAGCATTTGTGTGACGTAATAGTTTATTTCGCCATGTTCTCTTTGGGTCTACAGTTTTAGGTCTTTTATTAGCCTAGATGGACATCTGCCGCGTTTTGAAACCTATCTTGCCATAGTCTTAGTGTCTCGTCTCTTACTCTTTCCCTTTCGTTGGCACTTGGATTCGTTTGCGCCTTAAACTCGCACATTTTCTTGCGTTCGGCTGCTAGCAGGTCAATGGGAACCGTTCCGCTTATAACTAGTATTGCCTCGCCGCTGTACGGTACGCAGGGGCTACTCTTAAAGCTGCTGTGCGATGAGCTCTAGAAAGTGTCTTGCAACGGTTTTTTTTTCTGTAGGGTGTCAGCCCAGATCTCCGCTCCGTATAGCAAAATATTCAAGGTTGTGGACATTAGAAGTTTTCTTTTACTTTGGGTCGGTCCACCAATATTGGCCATTAATCTGCTTAGGTAAGCCGTTACCTTTGCTGCTTTTGCGGCTGCATGCTGCATTTGTGCCCAATACGTTAGCCTGGGGTCTAGCCTTACGCCTAAGTACTTTATTACTCTTTGCGTCTTTAATGTAATGCCGGTCAGTTTCATGCTCACTTCTAAGGGAATACGCTTCTTGGTTAGGAGTATTACCTCGGTTTTCTCTGCTGCAAGTTTAAGACCGTGTGAGTCGAGCCATGCCTGTGTTCTTATCATAGTCTGGTTTAATTTGAGACGGGCGTCTTCGGTGTCTCTTGCGGTGATCACTGCGGCAATGTCATCAGCGTAGCCTACTAAATATGTGTCATCTGGCATCTCGAGGTTTAATATTCGGTCGTAGCTGACGTTCCATAGGTCTGGCCCAAGAATGGAGGCTTGTGCTGCGCCCGACGTGATCGTCATTTGCCGGGGTCCATCGGTGGTATGGTACAGTAACTCCCGGCCTTCTAGGTAGCTTCTGACCATGAGTCTAAGGTACGTGGGTATGTTGTAGACTTCTTCTAGTGCGTGTATCATATTTTCCCATTTTGCGGTGTTGAAGGCGTTGCGAACGTCTAAGGTTGCAAGCAGGACTAGCTTTTTGTGTTGGTTTGC